TCCACGGATACAATTCCCGGACCACGCCTGGCTGAGGGTCGTTTTGATACCTAAAGACTGCTTTCGCTTTTGCGTACGAGCAAACGTTGTACGTACGCCTGGTCGCGCGAGACGACGCTCCACGGAGCGTCCGTCTTCCCTGGGCGTCGTCCGAAATGAACCGCCGCGAGGTTGGCGAAGTGGTGTCGCCGCCGCCCGGAGACGCACGAGACGAGAATAGAGTGTGTCTCGCGGAGCTGCGCGTCGCCGGACGCACAAGGCGATCCAGGATGATAGATCGTGCGCGCGAGCCGACCGCGTGTCTCCCGAGTCCATGAGAAACTCGTCTCGCGAGAGATGGGAGGAGGACCGGCACGCGTCGTCGTGTACTCGCCGCCGAATGCGAAGCAACGTCATCCCGGTCTTTGCGCAACCCTCTCGCTGTGGGACGATCGACGATTCCTCTGCGCCTCGGGCGCACGAGGGAGACTCGTCTCGTTTCGGTTGACGACCTCAGAGCAGGCGAGGTCAACCGCTGAATTTAAGCATATTATTAAGCGGAGGAAAAGAAACTAACTAGGATTTCCTTATTAGCGTCGAGCGAACAGGAAAGAGCCCAGCACCGAATCCCGCGGTTCCGCAGTAGGGAAATGTGGTGTTTGGGAGGATCCTTTTATCCCGAAGTATCGCGTCGCGTCCAAGTCTATCTTGAATGGGGCCACTTACCCGCAGAGAGTGCCAGGCCCGTAGAGAACGGTGCGCGTCTCGGGAGGATTCCTCCTTGGAGTCGGGTTGCTTGAGAATGCAGCTCTAAGTGGGTGGTAAATTCCATATAAGGCTAAATACGACCACGAAACCGATAGCGAACAAGTATCGTGAGGGAAAGTTGAAAAGAACTTTGAAGAGAGAGTTCAAGAGTACGTGAAACCGTTCAAGGGTAAACCTAAGAAACCCAAAAGATTGAACGGGGAGATTCATCGTCAGCGACGCTGGCTTCGCGTCGGTGGGCGATGTCCCGCGGGGTCCTCGCGGCCCGTCCTGCGCGGACACTCTGCCGTGCGTCGATGTCGCCGGTAGTACGGCACGCGTCAAACCCTCGGTCGCCCGGCCGGCTGCCCGGCGGTATACGCAAGGTATCAGGCCGCAACTCGGGCGTGCTCCGGCGCGCGCGTCTCTGCGTCGAGACCGTCGCAAGCGCGCGCCACGGTACACGGAGGCTAACGGACCTGGCGCCGTCACCGGTCCTGGCCCGCTGTTGGTCGTACTATTAACCTTCGACTGGCCTGCGAACGTTCCTCGCCTCGCGTGGGGGACCTATACCGGTCGGCGACGCTACTACTTTGGGTACTCTTAGGACCCGTATTGAAACACGGACCAAGGAGTCTAACATGTACGCGAGTCATTGGGACTTTGCGATATCTAAAGACGTAATGAAAGTGAAGGTCGGCCCTGGTTGCCGACCAAGGGAGGATGGGCTGCGTCGCTATGCGGCTCCGCACTCCCAGGGCGTCTCGTTTTCATCGCGAGAAGAGGCGCATCCAGAGCGTACACGTTGGGACCCGAAAGATGGTGAACTATGCCTGGTCAGGACGAAGTCAGGGGAACCCCTGATGGAGGTCCGTAGCGATTCTGACGTGCAAATCGATCGTCGGAACTGGGTATAAGGGCGAAAGATTAATCGAACCATCTAATAGCTGGTTCCCTCAGGACAGCTGGCACTCAGTCGTTACGCACGGAACGCGCGCGAGTCTCATCTGGTAAAGCGAATGATTAGAGGCCTTGGGGCCAAAACGACCTCAAGCTATTTTCAAACTTTAAATGGGTGAGATCTCTGACTTTCTTAAACTATGAAGTCACGAGTATCTCGGATCAGAGTGCCAAGTGGGCCATTTTTGGTAAGCAGAACTGGCGCTGTGCGATGAACCAAACGCAGAGTTAAGGCGCCCAACTCGACGCTGATGGGACACTATGAAAGGCGTTGGTTGCTTAAGACAGCAGGACGGTGGCCATGGAAGTCGTCATCCGCTAAGGAGTGTGTAACAAC